TTTTAATTTTTTTTAATTCGAATGAAATATAAATTATGATTTATTATTTATTACCTGGTCAGGTTAAAGTATACCTAAATATATAATCAAAGTTCAAAAGGTGTTTGCTATAAAAAAAAGTTTTTTTTACCTGGTAATGTTATTTGCTGATGTCATAATCCCTTTACATGTTATTAAAGAATGTATATATTTCAATAACTTATGTATATCATTCATATTCAATAAAATTGTATTAATAATGTTGCAATCAAAAAAAATTTCAGTACCATTGAAAAAAATATCTGTCAACATTTAATGAATAAATAATTGGAATAATATGAATTAATATAGAATACGATTATAGGTTTGAACAGTTTTTTATTTTACTTTTGACCAAATAATTGCTTACTTTTACTTTTAAATCATTTGAAATTATTATTCTTTTTTCAGATTCACTATTCCATATTGCAAGCACTACTTCATCATCAGTTAATCCAAACATCCATTTATTACCTGGTTTTTCTAATAGATTCAGATTTTCTTTTAAATACTGAAATGAAAATTCTTCGTGGGAATTTTCAACTGTATTTAAATATGCCTGACTTGGTTTAAATCTTTTTTTATCACTATTTATAGACCTTTCGAGAGGAGGTTTTCTCTTAATTGTATGCTCTGTTAAATAAAATGGTAAGTTCGAAAATATAGATGGAACTGCCCCAGCTTTTAATGTGGGTCTAATTCTTTTAATTTTATTGACTGTTCCATCATTTAAGATAGTCTCATCATAAATTAGAATATCATTCTCTTTGAAATGCACTTCACACACATTACACTTTTCTGTGAGCATTTTGTCTTTCCTAGGTATAGCTCTATGCCATCTTCCTAAAAGCTCTGTGTTCTAAATATTATTTGTAACAAATAATCAAATAAAAAATGATTATTCATAAATAAGGTTAAGATAGTATGTTTTCTTACTTTGGGTGCTTTAAACAAACTTTTATTTTTTAATCCAATTTTTTTTTGATGTTCGACATCTAAAGCATAACCAGTATTACACCCTGGCACGAAACAACAATTAACCATTTTTAATGATTAAGAAATAAAACACAAAATTCAAATTAATATTGTTTTATGTATAATTATTGTATTCAAATAAAAATAATCAAAGCAAAATAATAATAAAAAGTATTTAAAACCTTATCATTGTATGCATTTTCTATTTATAAATTTAATATTTTGATGAATAATAAATATCATGTATGAATCATCCATGCCTATGTGCAAGCCCGGATTAATGGGGGGGGGGTCCAAGGGGGGCATGGCCCCCGGGCTTCGATAGTTAGAATTTATTAAGGGGCCTCAGATTTGTCCATTACTTTTTCAATTATAGGCTATAACACTGCATTAATCACCTAAAAAAAATCGATGATTATTTAGCGAAGAAAAAAGCTTGTAAATTATAATTTATAAATAAAGTGATACATTATTCATTATTTATTGCTATGTACCTAATGGAAAATACCCATATATATTTATTATAACGTGCACCTAATATTAAATAATATAATTATTTTTTTTTTCGTACAGAGGCCTTATTTAAAATTTTGGCCAATGGGAATCAAAATGTCTTAATCCGGGCATGCCCATGTGTTTAATAGCTAACTATTATAATATATATTTTATTTTTATTATTGAAACCAATTTTAACGGAGATCCCCCTACTCTTGTATATATGTTTTGGATCTGATCCAGATCATAAAGTATTTGTAAGGAATAATAAATCAAGTTTAATTCGAAAAACATACATAATCCCTATTACACTACATACTATAATTTATTGTAAAACGTAGCACTGCTATCGAATGTCGCGCTCCTGGTGGCAGAATAACCGTGCGACTTTTGTCAGGCCACTTTATAAACGAGCGGCTATAGGAGTTTGGTCTCCTTATCTCTAATCTTCATGGTTGTCGAGTGTCGACAAAGTTATCTATATAGAACTAGACGGCGAACTCCCGCCATGAAATGAAGCCCCAAGGCTGATTGGCAATTGAATGGTATTTCATATTATGTCGAATAAGATGATATTATTATGATGTATTTTATTATTTCTAATCACGTTGTTTAAAAAAAAAAAAAAATAAAAGTATGTGTGTTACCAGTACGCGCGCGGGAAGTTAAACTTCTTTTGAATGGTACCCGTGAGTGAGTGAAAAAGAAAGAAAAAAATATTAATTAATTTTTAAATTGAGAAGAAGTATCCGGAATTATTTATTATGATAGTTTTATTATTTTTTTTATATTTTTATTCGACAGATCGATGGATAATTGTTTGTAGTATTGTTTTTATCCAGACAATAGATTTGCGAGTGAATAATAATAATAATAATAAAAATAAAAATAAATAATAATCGATCATTAATTATTCATATTAATTAGTATGGGCCAAGATAGATGAATCTGTTTTTTATTTTGCAACGTTTATATAATATTAACGACATACTTATTACATTATTATCATCGTCGTCGAAACCTCATCGGCTGTCACTACAGATATAAAATATATATCTGTGGCTGTCACCGACCAACATAATATATTTTTTAATACGTAATATTATTATTATTATGTCATATTGACGTGGCTCGATTATAATATATAATATAACAACACTACCATGACAATATTTATTTATTTACGGACAAGTACGCTTTCGCGTTCGTACGCGCCACCCGTTCGCTTTTTTTTTTCCTCACTACCCTGCATAAAGAAGTATAACTTCTAAAATATTTTATAAAAGTCATTTAACATTTACCGTTTAAAAAAAATATTATTCTCAATACATTTTGTATAATAAATGTAACGTTTTGCCAACCGACAAAATGGCGGCCTTCCACGGCTGAGCTTCATTCTTAACAATGTAAATTGTATGGGAGTTCCTTATCTAGTGTGGTATAGAAGTCGGTGGTTGTTGACTACGATCAAAACGTCAACCTCTCCCGTGATAATTGCGTATACGCATAACCTACCGAGCGTCACTGTTTGTGTTGTCGACAAAGATTTCTATAAATTATAATATAGTAATAGACGGCGAACTCCTGCCATGAATGCCCATGAATTGAAGCCCTAAGGTTGTTTGGCGATTGTATGGTATTTCATATGTCGAAAAAGACCGATAATATTATGATTTATTTTGTATCGTATTTTATTATTTCTAATCACGTTGTTAAAAAAAAAAAAAAATATTTTATAAAAGCCATTTAACATTTACCGTTAAAAAAAATAATACATTTTGTATAATAAATGAAACGTTTTGCAAACCGACAAAATGGCGGCCGTCAACGGGTGAGCTTCATTCTTAACAATGTAAATTGTATGGGAGTTCCTTATCAAGTGTGGTATATAAGTCGGTGGTTGTCGACTACGATCAAAACGTCAAAACACGATCCCAACAACATTTTATGATCGCAAACGTCACTTGGTTACTGTATATTATTATAATATTGTCATTTCATTTTTATTACCGGACACTACGCTTCGTCATGTGTTTACCGAAAGATCTGACCGTCAAATAGTCACTATCATAAATTGTTTTTATATCACGCACCAACAAACATCTACAAATCAACATATACGGAGCGACGTAAACTGATGTATTCGATATAATCGTATATATAATCATAATATAATTCACTTGTAATACGCGTATCTCCCATATATATATATATATATATATTTAAGGGGGCGTGTGAAAATAATTTTCCGTAAATAATTATTAAATAATCATAGGCAAAAGTCGTATTCTTATACATACATTAATAATATGTAGGTACGCGTCGGTCGCCGCCATTTTGAAACGCGATTGCGGGGCGAATGAACCGATTTCGAGGGAAAAGCGCATAATATTATGAACGGCTTTTAAAAGACGTTTTCTACGCGATTCGGGGACGAACGGCTCGCGAAAAGACGAAACGGAAGAAGAAAACGAAAAAAATAGGAAAAAAAAGTCCGGCTGGGAGCACATTTTGCGATCGACATTGCGACCGCTGCGGACGGCTCACAAATATAAACCGCACACCGGCGGCTTCGTCAAAACGCGAGCTAATCGAATCAAATATAAAAGAGGCGAAAATGGCTCGATAATCGTTGTAATCGTGTAAAAAAGACAGATTTTCTAAAATTTCTAAAATATGCAAACGATAAGAAAAGAGGTGATAACGCGGCCACGGCGACGGAATTTTTTCATAGGCTCCTCCTTTTAGTTCGGTGGCTAGCGACATAGATTTCTATATAGTACATATATATAGTAGTATAGAAGTCTGTGATGTAAACACTGATGTTTATTCCATTCCAAACTGATAGTAATTGATAATAATAATATGTTTCATTCCCGAGAAGGATATAAGCGTTTTTTTTTTACCTACAACCTACTGTCTGGTTGCTAAAAGCGAATAATATTATTATATTAACGTCGTACTCGTAAAACGCTTGCGCTCTGTCCTTTCAATCTTTCTTCGCGACCGTCCGACTCCCAGTCGTAGGTACGCGTACTGCCGTTCGCCGCCGTCGTGCATCACACGTCCGAGCGCGCGTCTCACCGTCCGCGGTGAAAAAAGCGTCCACCGTCGACGCGTCGTCCGTCGCCACAAGTGTTTACGAGTCGCCGCGTCGTCCGTCGCCACAAGTGTTTACGAGTCGCCGCGTCGTCCGTCGCCACAAGTGTTTACGAGTCGCCGCTGGTCATTTCCCGATTTTCACCGTCGCGTTTATGCGTACGCGTCGTCCTTTCCGTCTTCCCCGTCGCGTTTACTCGTACGCGTCGTCCGTTCCGTCTTCGCCGGCGTGCAAATAACACAGTACCTACTGTTGTCTGCGACGGACGCGACGTCGTCAAACGCATTATTGATATTGTCTACTCGGCTGTGGTACCGCGGAAGCCCGTTGTTTGCACCGTCGTTCACGTTTTAATTACAACTCGCCGTCGTCGTCGTCGTCCGTGCCGCGCTTTCGCCGTCGTGCTCTGTACCTACGTCAACTCCAGACCGTAAGTCGCGACGGACGCCATACCTCCTATTTCGCCGACGCGCGATATCTCATCCCGTTCGGTCGACGCACGATCGCCGTCGTTCCATTCGCCGCCGTAACGATTAACCGTTCGCTGCGACGACGCGTCTTCTCCCGTCGTGTAGACGTTATCGGCACTTGGCCGCCCGTCACTTGTTCGTCGGCGATACCGCATAGGAAATACCTGGTACCTACCGAAGATTTCCACCTACGCGTTGGTGAACCGACCATTTCGTCGACTGCAATACTTGCATACACGATACACGTAAAAATTCTTATAAATCGTCATCAGAAACTGTCATATTATATTATTATGCAGTTGTTCGGTATATTAACCGTTATTACTTTCAGGTGGTGTTTACACGTCGGCACTGGGTCAAGTGAAAAACTTCAACAACTCAAAAATCGGTTTATTGGGTACGTATAATGTGCCTTCCGTATAACGATCGCCATCGTTCCATTCGCCGCCGTACCGATTAACCGTTTACTACAAGGACGCGTCTTCTCCCATCGTGCAGACGTTATCGGCACTTGGCCGCCCGTCACTTGTTCGTCGGCGATACCACATAGGAAATACCTAGTACCAAAGATTTCCACCTACGCGTTGGTAAATCGACCATTTCGTCGACTGCAATACTTGCATACACGATACACGTAAAAATACTTATAAATCGTCATCAGAAACTGTCATATTATATTATTATGCAGTTGTTCGGTATATTAACCGTTATTACTTTCAGGTGGTGTTTACACGTCGACACTGGGTCAAGTGAAAAACTTCAACAACTCAAAAATCGGTTTATTGGGTACGTATAATGTGCCTTACGTATAACTGTTTCTCTTTACAACATAATGCAAATCATAATATTGAAAAATATGCTCTCTTGTAGTCAATACCCCAGTAGCCATACGTGTTTGGTGCCACTGATGCTAGCCATAGGCTAACGTATCCAATGATTTACCATTGAATTCAAATATAACACATCCGCATTACAATGACATACTCGACAACTACTGTACAGCAGAGCGGTACCCACTTGACCAACTTTTAGTTTTGTATATATTTAATATCTTGATGATTTTATGGGAATTTTCAATTTGACGTTTTGTGATAGCTTTGATGAGTTTATGTTTTATATTATAACTCTCCACTACTGTGATAGTTTATGGGATAACTGATATTAAAGGTTATACTAATATACATTATTATATAAATGGCAATTCATGTGTATTATGTCTTAAAATACTGAACTATCGGGATAGTAGGTATTATAGGTACTATAGTAGTCTAGTTAACAGAATTGAGTACTCGTGGTAATCGCGGCATCGAGCTATAGTATTGATAACAGAAAAGTACCTAACTTTTTGTCACCAATCTATTTACTAACTATATATATATATATTATTGCAGTAAAAAAGTCATAATACTGGTAAAAATTAACAATACTTCACTGGATATTACATTAAAATATAGCTTAAACCAACATAGTTCATCCAATTGCATATTTATCATACACAATACATTTAAAATAAAAGTATGTATTTTAACTAGATTTATAATATATTTACTGCAGTATACACCTTGCACCTACCTAACCCAACAAGTAAACTGGATAATGTACCTACTATATAAATAAATAATATAAATGTTTATTATTTTTCAAAAAACAATCTTGTAAACCTTGCAAATAAAACTGTATAAATAAAAAAAGCGGGTAAGTGGATGTCGCTCTGCTGTATTTTATTGTATTAAACTTGAATCGAATGATATAATATCATTGTATAAGAAAAACGTTTCTAAGCAGAGAAGGTAGTATATTTTGATATCAAAGCATTCTTTCTGGTATAAATTTTGTTAACAGATTAAAAAAAAACATTAATATATATAATAATATATAATTTATTTGAATACAGTTAACTAACTTAAAACGGTTTTATTAAATTGTTTTAACTCATTGATGAATGAACATTTTGACTCTTTTCCTTTCCAACTGTACTGACAAGCTAACTGATAAAAAATTCTATATGCTTGTGCATTGTTAACTGCATCTTCATAGTCAATTCCTCCCAATCTCTTGAGATCATTCACCTACAAAATGTGTTATAAAAAATTCCAATATGTGTAATATAAATAATGCTATAAATTGAAGCATAAATGTCAACCTCTAATTAAATATGAAAGGTAACATACTAACATAATAGTAAGTAGCATCAGTAGTGCTAGTATAGTAATAGTATAGTATAATTCCAAATTATCATTTTTATATTCCAACCATGCCAAATAATAGTCATATAAATTTGTTTATAACTAAATAACAATTAAGAACTTATTACTGTTTGACAATTATGCAATATTAAAATTAACCAATAAAGTTAAATATGCAGGTTCATTTATATTATTTTCAGCTGCTTTAAATTGACCATCCGTCAAATATGGGAGATCTGTATCAAAATTAAGAGTACTACTGACCACATTTTCTGTACCATTCAAACAAACATTAGACAATTTATTTTGCTGTAATACATGCTGTTTAACCTCAGCAATTTCTTCTCGTACTTGTATCATTTCGGAATTGATGTTTGAAAGCATTTTGTATACTTCTTTAGCAGTATAAACTAACGAGTAGCTGACATTTGTTAAAAATGAAGCAGTTATATCAATATTATTTAATAATTACCTTTCTCGGATGACTTATGTTTATTAATTTCAGTTTGGCACATGTTTGAACTTTGAACTTCTGTAACAGTTTCAAATGTACCAACCAGGTACAATTTGTACAATAACTAAGTCATGTAAATGTAATATTAAATTTAGTTTAAAAAAAAATACTCTGCAGGTATACCTATCTGGTGGTATGTTGTAGTATTATTAGTTGTCAGTGTTATATACTTTTTGTTTTAAATCGGTTGAGTACTTAATTAAAACAACACAATATTAAAATGAATTAACATTATTTTATTTGTGACAACTAATTTCATAAGAACATCACAGTGTATCACACTATCACCAGATACATTGTGATACAACGATTACATAATAATAATAGTAATAGTCTTGACTGATAAAAGTTAGTAGTAAGACATATAGATAACAGATAGATGTTAACAACAAAATATAATATTATGTTACAGAAAGGTATACGACATCTCTTTTTTTTTTTTCATTATGTAAATGCATTTTAAATCAAATGAATTATTCAAATTTAACAATTGACAATAAGTGACAAAACAATACATAGAATATCATTGAATTCAAGTTTAACACAATCCATTATACAACGACCCACTTGTAACCTACAGAGCGACATGCACTTAGCCGCTTCTTAGTTATTACACTAATGTACTTTCAGTGTGCTTCAATCTCTTTTAAACAGCGTATAATAAATACAAATTTCTAATGAATTTTGTACAGGCCTAAAAAATACTTATTTAGACAAGTTTGGTGTAATCATACGTTTATCCTCAATTTTATCTGTTCATTTTTTGTATACAGTCTCAATTAACGAACTACAGCTAAACGCTTATGTACACTATTACAACTTACTACATCATATCTCTCTATTACATTTTAAAAATATGTATATTTTTGTGTTTTCAATTGATCTAAGATTCGATATCACAACTAAATAATAGTTAGAATATATCTTTACAACTTTAAATTTAAACTTTCTTTTGATACAAATGTCAGTTATGAGTTGAAAACGGTGGTGACAAGAGCAGAGCCTACATCCTTTATCAAAAATATTTAGTGAAACCCAAACTAATGATTTGTTTGGGTATTGTACATTAAATGAAAAGTGACACTAGTGCTTAATTGCAGTGTTTTAATTTTTGGTGCCGAAATGTTTGCATACCAAACAAGACGTTTTACTTTAATAAATAAGACCTGTAATCTTTCCCCCCACTAAATGACCAATTTGAATTCAAAAGCACCTTGATAATTTTAATGGTTTTATGTTCACAGTAATAATATAGAGGAAGAAATTCAGTATGGCAACATTCAATGACTGTTTAATAAATTCTAAGTAAGCAAATACCTACACTGTTAGTGAAACATTAAAATAATACAAAATTTTAATATTTGTACCTTTTGAAATTATTTTCTTTTATAAAACTAGATGCTGTTATAATTTATGTAATTAATTCATTGTATCGAATTTAAACAATTATTGGCTACTGAATAAAAATAATACATTTTTACAATTTATTTTAGGTATGATGATATATTACAGCGGTCAAGAATGTTGTTGATTCCGATTATTAGATGTGATGACCCAGTATATAATAAAGTTATTAGCAAGAAAATATTGAGGAAACATACCATAATAACGATAATACCATATTAGAAATAGGGTAAGACTTATATTTACTTAATGGAGTAATATGACATAAAGGGCTGCCAACTGTCACATTTTTTTTTATATTTGGTCACTTTAGTCTTACTTATACCATTGTTTATAAATATTAGTGAACTTAACAGTATATGATTTTTTGTGGGGAGGGGGGGTCCAATAAAACTCTCATTAGATAGATGGTGTTAAGAACCAAAAACATTAGGTGATGCTGGTTCGGACAAGACTGGTGTTATTGTTGGGGAGTAAGCCTGCCTCGCGGATCGAATCCTATTTGATACCACGTTGGTCAGGTGCGTTGCATACGGGCTCCGCTTGTCGAGTCTGGACAGTTCTAGCGCTATCTATTGTCTCGTTCTCTAACAGCTCCAGTGGTGTAGCCGCTATGGCCCACCTCACTACTTGTCCTGGGATGGTCGTCGGGGGTGGCCCCGTCACAGTTACTGCTCCCCCTATCCCCTCCTCCACTATGGTATGGGTCTCGAGGTTTCTGTTTGTGGTTCGGCCGTTCCGTTATTACCAGGTTCCGGGTTGCATATTAGCATTCTGTGGACGGTCTCGGAACCTATAAACCAATTGAGACTTCTGATTGGCCCGTTTGAATTTCCGCTCGAATTTCATAATTTTATGTTATCACGCATAATTTTATAATGCATATAATATATTGTAATATTTGTAATACACTATTATATATATCATTACTATTTTTTTTTTTACTATTTCTGAGTTAGAAAGTAGTTAATTCTATTAATTGCTAATTTAATATTACTTGAATCATTTGAATGATTTAGTACTTTTAAATACACATTTAATAATAAGTAACTATAAAATAAAAACATGCAAATAAGTAGGTAGGTACCCAATATTAATTTATGACAGTAAATATTTTTTTTTATTGAAAAATGTAATAACTTTTAACTTATGACTTATTTAATGACTTATACAATATTATAAAGTATCAATAAATCAACTAAAATACTAATACCTAGATAAAATAAAATTATAAGTATCAAATAAGAAGATTTTTAATTTCATAATTATATTTGTATGCTTATTTGTTTGATTATAGTTGTATTTAATTATTTCTATAAAAACTTCTTAAAGGTAGTGCATAATGATTATATAATATTGTTATTTTATAAGGAATTCAAGTTAAAATTATCATATACTTGCAACATTAATTAATAACACAACTGAATTCATGAGATCATATTAGTAATATTGTATTACCTATAATCATATAATAGGTAAAATTATTAGTTATTACTTATTACTTATTAGTTATTAGTTATTACCCTTGCAACAGCATAATAATAATTGGAAATTGGTATTATATATTTAAACCTAGTAGTTGTACTATCGTCTATCAAGTAGTTATCACTACACAATTTACAATTATTATTATTATTAACCTATTTTTACTATGTACTATGTAGATACATAGTAATATAATATATTGCAACTAGCATAGAATATTGTGTTGTCTGATAATACTTGTGTTCATTAGCATTAGCGTAATAATCATAATTTGCTAATCGCTATTTAATACAAAATTTAGATATGTACCTACTCTTCTTTCATGACAAGTGGTAGATACTTTTAAATTTTAATATGGATACTATTAATATTATTCAAATTAATCCCAGTTTACTGCGTGCTAATCTGTTGAATGGAAATTACATTAATAATTATATAAAATATTATTCCCATCAAACACAAACAAGTTGGTGTGTTCTAAAGTCATTTAAATCTAATAGATTGGTTATTCGGTAAGTCAGTTATCCTTATTGATACATATAAATGTCATTATTATTATTATACTAAATAGAGATGTATTATTAGTTACGTAAATAGTTAATACTATTATTAGATAAATTAATTTATTTATTACTTATAAGTTATTACAAATAAGACATACCTACATAGTACTATGTATTTTTGAGAAAAAAAACTTTACAGGAAAATATACATATGTCATCATAGTGGTGCTAATAAAGTAGATAAAGCCTTAAACAAAAAAGGAAAATCTAAAAACTGTAGTTGTGAATCTAAGATCGATATCAAAATTAAGCTAACCAATTCAAATACTAAAAAAAAAGATCCACATGTTAAGGTAAATTAATTAACCGTTCAATATATTACTTATACATGTGTCATGTTATGTCACTTTTCTAATGCTTAGTTCTTTTTTTGTTTTGTCTTTAGGATGGATTACCAGCAATTTTAAAATTTGATAATGAACATAACCATTCTATATGTACTGCTGAAGCATTATCCTTCTTAAGACCTACAACTGATAATAATGTAAAAAACAATTTGAAGACTACTTTAATAATGGTTTAGGTAAGTAAGTTCAAAGTTATAATCATATTATTTTTATATTTTATCATCGGGTAGGTACTTTAAAAAAAAACAACTACGTTAAATTGTATTTAACTTGCATGAAATAATGTTATTCTAAGTATAATTTAGTAATTATTACTGTATTTTATTATAATTTATTATATATTTTACAATTACAGTATAGTTACCTACATAGTTTTGGTAATTATAATAAGTAATAACTATTATTATTATATAAATAATAATATTTATTATAATAAAATATTTGTTAATTAATTTAAACAATTAATTACAGGTATAGCTGAATCTTCTTCAATGCACGAATCAAAAATTGAATTAGATTTTGGGTCAAACTGTGAACAATTGGCTAATGCTTCCATAAATCCCAAGTATAGGACTGTGTGGTTTTGGTATGATCAATGGAAACAAATTCATCTTGGACCTGCCTCTGGAGTTGGTGTTATACAAGGAAATTAATTTATTAACCAATAAAAATTTAAGTTATGTATGAATATGAGATCAAACAGTAAATTTAATAGTTGAATATTAAAGTTTCTATAAATATAGGTTACCTTATACAATTTGATATTTGGTAATGTTTTAAATTTATTATTATATTGTTAAATTGGTTTATTCACAGTGTCCCTTTGTTCCCTTGTTCCCATTAATATCTTGTATTTTAATTAGTATTTATAAATCTGTATTAAAGAGTAAAAGAAGTGTATTACATGGCCACATTCTTTACATAATATTAAAATAATTTTTAATATTAAAAAAAAAAAATTTAATTTAATGGAATACTTTTAAATAATATTTTATTACTTTTTAAATACTAATAGTATAATTATTTCTAGTAGTGATTTTATTTTACACTTATTTTTATGTTAAAGATAATTTTATCCAGACAGTATTTGGATACATAAAAATAACTGTAAAATAAAATCACTACTAGAAATAATTATACTACCTATAAGTATTTAAAAAGTAATAAAATATAATTTAAAAGTATTCTATTAAATTAAATTA